AATACTCCCAGAGTAATTAAACTCTCTTATTCTACTTTATAATCTATTGCTCTTGATCCAGCACCCCTATAATGTATAACCTTAGAGAATCTTGGCTTCTCTAGGAAACAATTTCTAGTATGGACTGAATTGTGTCCCTTCAACTCAAATCCCCATGTGTAGCTCACTGTACCTTAGGATGTGATTGTATTTGGAGACAGGCCTTGATGCAGTACAACTGATTTGCAGAGGGTATCTGAACAAAGACATAGACATAGAGAAGGTGATATGCAGACACAAGAAGATGATGGCCATCTAAGTACCTGGGACAGATCCTTCCCTCAGAGCCTTTAGATAAAACCAACCCTGCTAGCTCTTCTATCTGCTACTAGTTATTAGTTCTTTTACCTTGACTTGCTACATACTTAATAAACCCACTTATGGAAAACCCAAGGTTTTATTTATTTATTGAGGATTTTTTTCTACATGGAACATGGTGTCAATAAATAGAGTGTCACTGTGGTGGTTTGAAAGAAAATGGCCTTCAAAGGGAGTGGCACTATTAGGAGGTGTGGCCTTGTTGGAAGAAGTGTGTCACTGTGGGGGCAGGCTTTGAGGTCTGTCTTCTCAAGTTTCACTGAGTGTGGCAGTCAGTAAACTTCCTGTTACTCTGAGTTAAGATGTAGGACTCTCAGTTCCAGCACCACATCTGCCTGCATGCTGCCATGCTCCAATTCATGATCATAATGGACTGAACCTCTGAAATTGTAAGTGAACCATCCTCGATTACATGTTTTCTTTGTAAGAGTTGCTACGGTCAAGGCGTCTTTTTACAGCAATAAAAACCCTAACTAAGACAGTCACCCAAGATCTGGTTTGCAGAGGATCCATTAGATACATGAGAACTTCCAATAGTTATTCCCCCCATTCTCGACTGTATAATTAGAATAGATGTACTCAGCATTTGGTGTAATCCTCACATTGGTTCCTTGGACATTGGGGTAAGAATAATCATAGTTGGGAAGGCCAAATGGAACTCTATCCAATAGCATAGGAGCAAAACAAAAGTCCAGGGAGAGGAGAGAAATGGTAGAGACATGTGTCACTTAAAGACTCAATGGACACAAATGTCCTGTGGTCTCATCATATCCACTCTGGGTTTACCATCCAGACCTGCCTGACAGTAGGCAAATGGATCCTGGAAAATTTCCATGTACTGTGCAAGCTCATCTGTGTAGTAAACACTGCAGCTGTTATGGCAGAGTGGTATTTTGTTACAGGATATTAGCACAGTCTCAGGGACTCGGCCTATAGCTATCATCAGAGAGCTATTTCTTCAATGGAGAAAGATCAGAACAGCTCACATTCACTTGAAATGGATAAGCACAAACATTTACAATCTTATGACTCAAGACAGAACATAATTTGAATAGATCTGAACCCGCTAGAAATTCCATAAGGTATCACTTTGATCCATTCTATCAATGACATAGCACTATTAAAGCGATGCATGCTTCAGAGGGTAGGTTAAACCTGTGTATATTCAGAGGACCTCCCTATATCTATTTAATTTTAGGGGTTTGACTGTCAGGGGCGTGTTGAGATATCCCTTTTATGACAGGACAAATTATTGCATTTTGTACATTACACAATACCTGGTATGCTTTTTCATCTAAGAAGCTGCTTCTACTCATATAATGTAGGTTTAAATTTTTTTTAGTGCAACACAGAACAGAAAGAGAGCTTTGTTGAGGTAACACATGATCCAAGACATTCTTCAGTATTAGAAATGCCAATTGTGAGAACTGGGGAGATGGCCCATTGGGTAAAATTGTTCTGTGCATCAGAAGGACCTGTTTTCAGTTCCCTACTATCCACATAAGAAAGTCAGTTATGATGCATACCTATAGTCTCAGCACTTGGAAGTAGTGTGCAGGAGAATCCTTGCTGGCCAGATGCAGAGGAAGCAGGATGTGTCAAATATGAGGTAACAAGTCATGAACCACATGGCAGAACTTAGGTAAGAAATACGGGTTAATTTAAGTTATAAGAGCCTAAGCTATGGGTTGAGCATTTATAATTAATATTAAGTCTCCATGTAATTATTTGAGAGCAGTTAGTGTATGTGAAAGTGGCAGGGGCACTGGTAAGAGGGGAAGGAGGGGAAGCTTTGCTTAGGATGTAGAAACAAGAAGATAAAAGAGACGTGGTTAAGTTCATTAAGTATCATGCTATTATTTATTTATTTATTTATGTTTCTTTTCTTTTTAGAGTGAAAAGCATATTTACTCAAATCTATTTATTTTTGTCTTTTTTGTTTTTACATTTAAATTAGAAACAAGGTTGCTTCACATGTCAATCCCAGCTCCCTCTCCCTCCCCTCCTTCCACACCCTCCCACCAATCCCCCATTCCCCCCTCCCCCAGTCCCCACTCAGGAAGGGTGAGGCCCTCCATGGAGGGTGTCCATAGTCTGTCATTTCATCCAGGGCAGGGCATCACCATCCCTGACTTCAAGCTCTATTATAGAGCTATAGTCCTGAAAACAGCTTGGTATTGGCACAAAGACAGACAGGTAGACCAATATAATCGAATTGAACACCCCGATATTAACCCATACATGTATGAACATCTGATCTTCGACAAAGAAGCTAAAAGTATACAATGGAAAAAAGAAAGCATCTTCAACAAATGGTGCTGGCATAACTGGATGCTGGCATGTAGAAGACTGCAGATAGATCCATGTCTATCGCCATGCACAAAACTTAAGTCCAGATGGATCAGAGACCTCAACATAAATCCAGCCACACTGAACCTGTTAGAAGAGAAAGTGGGAGGTACCCTTGAACGAATTGGTACATGAGACTGTTTCCTGAACATAACACCATTAGTATAGACACTGAGGTCAACAATTAATACATGGACTTCCTAAAACTGAGAAGCTTCTGTAAGGCAAAGGACATAGTCAGCAAGACAAAAAGGCAGCCCACAGAATGGGAAAAAATATTCACCAACACCACATGTTTTTTATTGAAATATTTTCTCTTGTTGCTTCTTAACCAGCTGGGCATTCCACTACACTACTGTTGAGGTCATCAATGATGTCATGAGGGTGGCGGTCATCCACATTGCAGTCCACAGACTGTGCAGTACCCAGGATCTCTTTAATAGTTCCAGAAAGTTCTCTGGCTAAAGATCAGTGTCGCATCTGTCCGGCAATGCTGACAATCTCATCAAAAGTGATATTTCCACTGTGTTTAATGTTCTTCTGCTTCTTTCTGTCCCTTGGTGGCTCCTTGAGGGCTTTAATGATCAGGGCCAAGGCAGAGGGCACCACTTCATCTGGGTCTGTCTGTTCTGGATGGTCAGCTTCACTGTGATCCTCAGGCCTTTCCAGTCACCTTTCGCCTTGGCAATATTGTCACTAACTTTCTCTGGGGACAGACCCAGAGGACTGATCTTGGGGGCCAAGGCAGATGTGGTGCCCACCTCACCTCTGGTGTGCCTCAAGTACAGGACTTTGACCTTGTTGGGGTCGAACTTGGGTGACATGGTAGAGGCGACTGGAGTCAGATGAACCCAGATTTGGGAGGACCAAACAAAGTTGCACCGTAGTCTCCTCTGAGCTGAAAGCCGAAAAGGTACCTATTTTTCTTAAAGTCAGGGTTTCTCTGTGTAACAGCCCTGGCTATCCTGGAACTTGCTTTGTAGACCAGGTTGGCCTCGAACTCACAGAGATCTGCCTGCCTCTGCCTCCCGAGTGCTGGGACTGAAGGTGTGTATCACATTCTTTCTATCACCCATCATCTATCTATCTATCTATCTATCTATCTATCTATCTATCTATGTATCTATCTATCTATCTATCTATCTATCTATCTTCTATTAATCTATCTCTATCATCTATCTTCCTATCATCCACTTATCATCTGTCTGACTATCATATTTGTGTATATGTATTCGTGTGTGTGTGTGTGTGTGTGTGTGTGTGTGTGTGTGTATTTGGAGGTCAGAGGAGTGTCAGCTTCCTTGGGAGTTCCAGCACCGTGTAAGCCACTTGTTATGGATGCTGGAATCGACCTGTAAAAGTATGTACTCTTAACCACTAAGATATTTTTCCAACGTTGATTTTTAAACAGGTATTCATCTTCAGCTCAAATGCTGAGCCCTTCTGGAATATCACCTCCCTTTTAATGATTTGATTGTAGAAACAGAAATGATATTTCCCTTCACACTTGACTTCAGAACAAAGACTTCCTGGTTTTCTCTCTGCTAAAGAACGTAAACATGTGTATTGCTTAACAAGTAAAGTAGCAACCTCTCGCTGGTTTTTCTCCAGTTTCCCCCAGGCCGTCCCCACCCCCCAGAGATGTTCTGGATTTTAAATTTCTGGATAAAAAAGAATCTAACCCATCTAACTTCCAGGTTCCTTCTGCTCCTACCTAGTTGGCATTTGTGAGTTGTCAGGAGACAGACTAAGTGACGCGAACTTTAACGATGTAAATTCCCCAAATAACCAGGAAATTAAGCAAGGTGTTTAGCTGGATTTTAAATATAGGATTCATCCTCATATTTCCAGAAAGAAATTCATTTAAAGGCAAAAGAGGGAACCAAAACAAGATATCGGTGAACATGCACACACTTCATTTTTATTACAGTTTTAAAATTGTTAAATACAGACCTATTACGGAAAATTTTTTACAAAATAAAATGCTTGCATGCCACCATCGGAACACAGATTTTCGTCACTAAGGAGGATTCCTCTAAGCTTCTCCCCTCCAGCGTCCTGTGCCTTTGCATCCCTGACCTTCCAGCACAGCTAGAACCTAGGCGCTGGGTGAGGCGCGGCTGCGCGAAGTAGCGAAGTACGCCGTCGTCGTGGTAACCGCGGAAGCCTGGGCCTTAGGAGAGGTAAGGAGTCCAGGCGCAGAGGTCCTGGGGGCCATCCGGGGCGAAGGGGCAGGATAGATCCGCCTCATCCCTACTGGCTGCTGGGGAGGGACTGCCTGCTGGGGTAGGGACTGCCGGGGTGGGCGTCAACTACGGCGTCCTCAGCCTGTGTCTCCCATGGGCTTTGAGCATCTTGCCCGGCTTTGAGCATCCCGCCGCTGCCAAAGGATCAAGCCGAAGGGCGGAAGGGAGAACTCTTAAGCCCCTCAGGGAATCCCTGTGCTCTTTCCACGTGACCTGGTTATCGTAGCAAGGCTGCCATTCCGTGTGTGTTGTGTGGGATCCCCGGGCCTTCATACTTGATTGAATTTCTAGGTGCTTAGAGCTGATTTTGCGAGGTGAGGACCCGGCTCCTCTGTGAGCTGGAACTTTAAAAACCTTAAGAGACATTTATTGTCTTTTTTGAAGAAAAGCACCCTTTTTAAAGAAAGAATTCCGTTGGCTAAAAGAGCCTTCAGTGTCGACTCTACTACAACTTTGGGCAGCCTCGTCTGCCTCCCTGCCCTTTGTTTACAGGATTCCAGTCTCATCACCATTAAGCCTCTTTCCATGCTTCCATGCTATTACTGAAGTATCACCCCTCCTGGAAAGTCCTTCTGGAACCTTCTCCCAATCTGTTGTTGCTGCCTGTCCTCTTTACAGTTAGAATAAACTCAGCCTACAACCCGTACGTCCTTTATCTCTACTATTGCTCATTAGACTGTGGGTTGGCAACCAGACTTGTGCAATTTTCTATTTTTGGTACTTTGCAGCCTCTAAATGTTCCTGCTGTGTAGTCGATAAGTTTCTAGACCTGTCCTAGCCATTTAGTAAGTTAGAGCAGATTTATCCTCATTCTAGAAAATTCAATTAAATCAAGAGGATTAAATCAGTGGCGTTTTGCCTTCATAACCTCCTCTCCCCTCTCCATGCCAAGCTTGTGTTTTATGTTATTACATATGCGTGCATAGAAAACATCATTTGTTTTGTCTCCTTAAGAATGGGATCTGAAAGCTATGCCCTATGGGTCAATACCCATCTTGCAAATATTTTAGCCACAGCCATACCCATTTATGTGTGTGACACCTGTGATTACTCCCCTGCTACAAAGGGAGTGATCCTGTAGTACACAAACAGCATCACACACGCCTGAACAGGTGCCCCCTGGCCCTTGACCTCTGCTTTGGAATGCATCCTTTTCCCGAGACTGTCATTACTTGACCTCTGCTTTGGAATGCATCATTTTCCTGAGGCTGTCATTACTTGACCTCTGCTTTGGAATGCATCATTTTCCTGAGACTGTCATTACTTGACCTCTGCTTTGGAATGCATCGTTTTCCTGAGACTGTCATTACTTGTACCATCTGCAGTTCTGTGTTAGTCTCATCTTCTTATCCCTCCTATTTTAAGTTTTCTCCCTCCTCTTTCCTTCCTTGTTTCCTGTTTCTTCACCATGCTTATTTCCGTATCACAATCTAAAATGGTCTCATTTGTTTTTCTTGTTTCTTGCCCATATCCATAAGCACCATGATTGGAGGAAACCTTGTACGGGAAGAAATGCAGCAGGCACTGACTTAGATGAAGGATTAGTTAGAGCCCTTGCTCTCAATAGTTTGAACTTGGAGTAATGGTGTAATTGGCCATTCTTTTTTGGCAATCTCCTCTCTGATTTGTCAACTGCATACCTAGGTTTGTTGGATCAATTTTTAATGAAATATACTTAGTTACTAGCACTGATGCCTTCGGCAGCGACCTGACAGTTGCCTACAGAATCAAGTTCAGACTTCTTGCTGCAGTCTTCGCCTGCCTTATTTATATACCAAATGCTCATTTTCAATAAGTTGGTTAATTTGTTAGTTAATTAATTAATTGTTTAATTTATAGTTTTTTTTGAGACAGGGTTTCTTTGTGTAACGGCTCTGGGTGTCCTGGAACTTGCTTTGTAGACCAGAATGATGTCAAACTTACAGAGATCCACCTGCCTCTGCTTCCCAGCATGTGCCACGAAGCTCTGATCAATGTTTGTTTCTTTCTAAAAAAGTTTTGTGGTGTTTCTTTCTTTCTTTTTTCTTTTCTTTTCTTTTTTTTTTTTTTTTGGTTTTGGTTTTGGTTTTGCGAGACAGGGTTTCTCTGTATGACTTTGGAGCCTGTGTCCTGGAACTCACTTTATAGACCAGGCTGGTTTCGAGCTTACAGAGATCCGCCTGCCTCTGCCTCCGGAGTGCTGAGATTAAAGGCATGCGCCACTATTGCCTGGCAGCTTTGTGGGGTTTGCTCCGGTGCTTTTTCTTGGGTTCTTCTCAGTGCCATAGTCTTGCTCATTCTTTATTACCCAGTACTTTTTGGTAAACATCTCTAACTTTGTGATCATCTGGTTTTGCTTTTCTTTCCTTCCACTTCTCCTCTCCCTTCCCCTCTCCTCTGCCTCCACATCCTTTCCTTTTTGATACATATTAATAAAGAGGATAAAACAGTGACATTCTGCCTTCATAGGCCTGGTCTCCTCTCCTCTCTCTATGCCTGTATAGTCTATGAAATTTCTGTTTTATATTATTATACGTGTGAGTAAAGAAAATATGTTTGTTTTGTCTCAAGAATGGGATCTCAAAGCTATAGCCTATGTGTCTCATCTGTTTTGCAAATATTTTATTTGCAAAAATAAAGTCTTGTTGTCTAACCCAGATTAGCCTTGTATTTGCAATCCTCATACCCATCCTCTCAAGTCCTTGGGGGTGTAGACACTGTCCACCTTGCAGGCTTTCTCTTGTTTAAAAAAGTGTGTTTCTTATTTACTTTTCTATTGCTGTGATGACCAAGGCAATTTATAAAAGAAAGGTCTTATTTGGGGCTTACAGCTTTAGAGGGTCAGAGTCCACAACTATCATGGCAGGTAGCATCGCAGCAGGAGGGTAGGCATGACAATGGAGCAGTTTGAGAAACTAAGGTGAAGCCGAGAGAGCTAATTAGGGATGTCATGGGCTTTTGAAATCTCAAAGCCTCAGTGGCACCTCCTCCAATAAGGCAGCACTTCTTGGTCCTTTCCAAACAGCACTAAGTATTCAAATATATGAGCCTATGGGAAGAGGGGTTGACATTCTCTTTTAAATCACCACTGAGTGTAATTGCATCTACTTGCATGCTTCAAAAGTTACTTAACTTCAATTGCTTTTTAACTTAACTAAGATACTTCCTGATCTATACGTGTCATTTAATTTGTTTTCTCAACAAAATAGTGCTGAGTTATACACATTGCTGTAGTCTTAGTTATTTAGCACCAAGTAACAAATTAGCCAAGCTTGCTATGTTTAAAACAGCACACAGATTATCCCAGAGTTTCTGTGTGTCAGGAATCTGGGTACAGTTTAACTAGACCTCTACTTCAGTGTCTCTCAGGAGTCTGCAGGCCAGGCTAGGTTCACCTAAGACAGGGATGCTATCAAGCATATTAAATGATTTTGGTAGAATTAAACTCCTCATAGGATTCTTGGCTAAGGACCTCTTTTTTTGCCAGCTGTTGCCAGAGTTTGCCTTCTGTTTCTTGAAAGGTGGTTCTCTCTACTGTATGAGGAGAGCCAGGAAGAAAATATAAGCCACAGTATATTGGATTCTATCATACTGTGCTTGCTGCCTTATCTTTTCATTAGAAGCTATGTGCAGTCCATGCTGAAAGGTGATGGGATTTACAAAGGCATGGACATCTGGAGGCAGTGGTATACTGTGAACCCCAGCAGAAGCATCTTGTCACATTGTATATTGCTGTAATTCATTCTATTCAACTGTTATCTTTAATTTTTATTTAAAAAATAGTTATTTTATTTGTATGGGTGTATGTAAGTCTGCATAAGTTTATATACACCATGAATATGCAGGAGCCCAAAGCATCCAGAAGAATGTGTTGGATCCCCTGGAACTGGAGTTGTGGGTGGTTGTAAGTTGCCATGTGGGTGCTGAGGACCAAACCTGGGGCCTCTGCAATAGTAGTAAGCACTCCTGACTGCTGAGTCATCTCTCCTGATTTTGGGCATGGTTTTCCCCTTAAGGATTTTGCTGTTCTGAATACATAGTGGTGCCATAACGTTTGGTGTGATGTCATAACATTTGGCATGTATGGGGAACAATGGTTCTCTTCCCTAAGTCATTCCCAGATTGATATACATTCCATCAGAGTGAGCCCTGTTAAGATTTCCTTAATTGACTGTAATTAATTTTGTCCTTTCTGAAGTTCCATAGAATTTCAAATGTTATGGCACTTACCTACCACTTGTCACTTTTTATAACACATATTTTGTTCACATCATATTTTCTCCCATGTGTACAGTAGATTGTTGAGGGAAGAAGATAAACTTGTTCATTTTAAGATGGGTGTAGTAGCTCACACCTGTAATCCCTGCACCAGAGTGGAAAAGGGAGGATCACTGCAAATTTCAGGCCATTCTGGTCTACACAGCAAGTTTCAGGTCATCCAAGGCTACATAACAAGAATGGATCTCAAAATAAAACAAAACAAAATATGAGTTTTTAATTTATATAATATATATGAACATTTAAATAACATTGATAAATTTAAAATAAATAATAACAAGTGAATATATTCTGTTTGAATGGAATGGATTCTGTTTAAATGCTAATGCTTAATTTTTGAAGTTTTTATAATTTGGCTCTAATGATCTAATATTTGTTAATTCTCCCTAACAAGAATCATTTTTAGGCAGATAAATTTAACAATTCTCTTTTAATTCTTTCCTAATGAATTTAGTTGACTTTGATCTCTTGTCTGTTCCTATTTAATATACCTTTTATATTATATATTTAGTATTTTATTATATACCGAGGTCACATGTTTACTCATTGTAATTTTATTGATTGAATGGCTAAATTAGATTATTTTATGACCATAATTACTTTCAAGTACATATTTTTGTTTCATTGATATTGTCAGTGAACTGATTAAAGATAAATAAGTAGCCTGGTATGGTGCACATGTTGCCTTTAATCTCAGTACTTGGGAAGCAGAAGTAGGTGGATCTGGGCGAGTTCAAAGCCAGCTGGCTTACAAAGCAGGTTCAGGTCAATCAGAACTGCATAGGGAGACTTTGTCTCAAAAAACAAAAAAGTAAATAAATGCTGATATATTTGAATTACCTATTATTTTCCTTTGTTGCTAGATACTTTTGGAGTGAATGGAGCCAGAAGGAATTCTAGAATCAGAGGGTTCAGAAAAGTCAGTATTTTCTTCCCAGCAAGAATATGAAGAATCCCAAGAAGCAGAGGAAATAGGATCAGAGAACCCCCTCTTACAGCCGGCTCTCACAGGGGATGTAGAAGGTTTGCAGAAGATTTTTGAGGATCCCGAACATCCCCACCATGAGCATGCTATGCAGTTGCTTCTGGAAGAAGACATTGTTGGGAGAAACCTGTTGTATGCAGCTTGCATGGCTGGGAAAAGTGATGTAATTAGAGCCTTGGCAAAGTATGGGGTGAATCTGAACGAAAAAACCACCAGAGGTATTTCATCTTTCATCAGTTATCATTTGTGACCACCTAAGGATGCTTTTCACAGTCTCTGTGATCGGATAAGTGTGGTGTGCCTGCTTTATATGTTACATAACTATTTCAAAAATTTTAATTTTTTAATTAAAACAAACAATTATTTTGTTGTTGTGTGTTTTTGAGACAGGGTTTCTCTGAGTAACAGTCCTGGCTGTCCTAGAACTCACTCTAGAACAGGCTGTCTTTGAATTCGAGAGATCTGCCTGCCTCTGCCTCCCAAGTGCTGGGATTAAAGGTGTGCTCCATCACCACCCAGTTTAAACTCATTTTTCTTAAGCCCAAATTTATTGACCAGTTGTGTTTATGCCATGAATGAAAGATTGGTTATGCAGTTAAAAAAAAACTAGTGTAATGCCCCACCCTAAAAGATAAAACAGTCAGGGTTTTGGCAGTAGCTCAGTTGGTAGCATGTGCTTTCAGTATGTACAGTGTACCTATTGGAGTCAGCACAAAGCTGTGGAGTTGGTTCTCTCTTTTCACCTTTCTGTGGGTTCTGGGGATTGAACTCAGGTCATCAGGATTGTGTCGCAAGCACCTTTACCTGCTGACCCATCTTGCCAGCCCCCCATTGCAAACTAGAAGAACCTCCAAAATTGAGCTCAAATAAATCTTATTTTCTAAGTTGACTACTAAAATCCTGGGTTTTTATCTGATAAATATTGCTATTTTGCTTGGTATGGTTTTCTATTTGTAGGGATATCTCTTTTCTATCTTTTACTGTCTAGGCTCTATGTCTTATTATCAGTTAGGGTGAGTTTGTTATAGGCAGCATACAGATGGGTGTTGTTTTTTCTTTTTCCTGCCTTTTTATCTGTATTTTTAAATTAGGGACTATGAGCCATTTTCATTAAAGGTTATTATCAGTATGTAACTATCTACTCTTGTCATTTTGTTAGTTGTTTTCTGTTTGTTTTGCATATCCTTTGTTCTTTTCTGTTATAGTGTCTTTGAAGATTTGTATAGTACTGAGGTTCAATTTTTTTTCTGTGTGTCTATGTGTTGGATAGTTTTATGTCAACTTGCTACAAGCTAAAGTCATCCGAGAGGAGGGAGCCTCAGTTAAGAAAATGATTCCATAAGATTAGGTTATAGGCAAACCTGTAAGGCATTATCTTAATTAGTGATCAATGGGGCAGGGCACAGCCCATTGTGGTGTCATCCCTGGGCTGGTGGGCCTGAGTTCTATAAGACAGCAGGTTGAGCAAGCCATGAGGAACAAGCCAGTAAGAAGCACTCCATGGCCTCTGCATCAGTTCCTGCCTCTAGGATCCTGCCCTGTTTGAGTTCCTGTTCTGACTTCTTTCAGTGATGAACAATGATATGGAAATGTAAGTCAAATAAACCCTTTCCTCCTCAAGTTGCTTTGGTCAGGGTGTTTCATCACAGCAATAGTAGCCCTAAGATAGTCATCCTATTGCTAAGTTTTATATTTTCTCCTTTTAGAAAGGTTGTTTTTATTGTTTACTATGTGTGTGTGTCTGTTTGTGTGTGTCTTTGTGTGTGTGTGTCTGTGTGTATCATGTGCACATAAGTGTAGTTGCCTGTGCAGGTCAGAAGAGGGCACTAGATCCTCTGGAGTTGGAGTTACAAGCAGTTATGAGCTGCTTCCTGACCTGGACATTGGAAATGAAACTAAGGTCCTCTGCAAGAGCTGTACCAGCTCTTAGCCTGTGAACCATCTCTCCAGTCACCACTTCATTTTATTTTTCACATCAGTCATTGTCTTTTTAGTTGTAGAAATGATTTCTTTCTCCATTCTTGCCTTTCATCATTTCAGTTCTTAGAGTTGAACCTATCATTGGCACACTCTATAATTAGAAGCAGCCTTTTGTGTTTCTGTTTCCTTATACATAGTTGAGAGAAACGCCAGCCCCCAGTGCTAGGTCAGGATGAGGATGAGGTCTGAATGCACTGGTCCTTGTGAGGTTCACAGAACAAAGCCATTGTAGATGGGGAGCTTGCCTTCCTTCTTGTCTGACCTTTTGGCTCACTGTGAACTCCTGTGTTGGTTAGTTTTTCATGAACTTGACACAAACTGGGATCATCTGGGAAGGAGGAACTTCAATTGAGAAAGTGCCTCTACCAGACTGATCTGTCAGCAAGTCAGTGAGGTGTTTTTCTTGATAATTTTGGATGTTTTCTGGATTCTTAATTTTAAAAACTATTTTACATGTATGTGCAGGCATGTGCATGCATGTGTGTGTTTGTGCATGTATGTGTGCATGTGATTGTGTGGGTGTGCACACCCATGTGTGTGCTATGGTGGCATGTGTGGAGGTCCAGAGGACTACTTATAGGAATTTGTTCTACTATGTGAATTCTGTGGATCGAACTCAAGTTGTCAGTCTGAGTTAGGAAGCAAGCACTTTCATAAATGCCAGGCCTGAAATAATATTTAGAGGATTTTCTTCTTTTGGAATGGTGCTGGTGTTACAAAATAGACTATTCCTAGCAAAGAATTAAAAAACATGTTGAGGTTGAAAATTCTTTGGTAAAAGCTTGTTTAAAATAGGTTTATTTTAAACTGATTATATTAAAATACACATCCCCTTTCACCTCTAATTTTCAGTGTCACAGTGAATTTAATGAGTAGATGACACCTTGAATTAGTATTTCAGCTTTGTGAAAAGCAGTACATGATCCAGACTGTCTCCCATGTAGACTGGCTTCTTGGTCATACTAGCAGTGCCTTGTCTATAGAGAGTGTCTTTTCTCCGAGTGAATCAGGGACTCTGGACCATTCAGCTAATGGGAAGACTTCCATTTCAGGCTGAAGGCAGGAATAACAAGGGTGGTATCTGGATATACCTTGACTCTCACTTTGTAGTCTGTGGTCTGAGTGTGTCCCCTACAAAATTAGTGTGTTGGAAATGAAAACCGATGTGAGAATGTCGGGAAGTCAGTCCTTGTGAGAAGCGTTTAGGTCACGAGGATCTCTTACGGTGGACAGTGGACTAATGGCACTGTACCAAAGGGCTGGGAGAGCATCATTCTTCTTTCCACGGTGTGAGGACTCAGCAAGGTCCACACCAATGCTCTGCCCTGGGACTTCTCACACCTCCACACTGTGAGAGATAAATTCTGTTTTAATTTACCCAGACAGTGATATTTTGTAACAGATTAAGATTGTCAAGAATAAAGACAACACACAATATTCGAGCCAGGCTCTTGGCTCTTAGAGTTCTTAAATATTTTGCTTATTGTGATGTTAAAAATTGAGGGATGCCAAAGAGTTCCAATTTTGGGCAGAGCTGAAAGAAATTCACTTTGGATCTTTTTTTAAAGAGCTCACTATATAGCTCTGGTCGTCCTCACAGATATCTGTCTCTGTCTCCCAAGTGCTGGGACTAAAGGCATGTGCCACCACACAAAGTAGATTTTTCTTTTTCTTTTTTTTTGTTTGAGACAATGTCTCACCATGCAGTTTTGTCTATTTTGAAACTTACTGTATAGACAAGATTACTTTGGACTTGTTATTAACATTTTATTTTCCCTTCTGGTCATGGTGGTTTACAAGTTGGTCTCAGGTAAGCCTAGGTTTGTGACACTCTGGTGAATAGGGAACCAAGAGATTTTTGGAGGAAGTAGAGTCACTATTGTATCTTCTTTTTTCCCATCTCATCCAGAGGGTAGCACGTGGGTGTTTCTTTTCTTTATAAACTCAATATGAACACATACCGAGGTTTTAATCTTACTTTGGCTCTGTACTACAGTATGGTTTTGGGAAGTTTCCACTTGTCGACCTTTACTTCCCATTATATATTATGATGAGGCTAATACCTTCCCTCAGGGCTGTTGCAGTGATTAAATGAAGGACATACAGAGTCCTGGTGTATAATAGTTTCCACACATTAATTCTTGTTCAGATCTTTTTGCCTCTTTGGTTATTTAAGGGAGTCATTAAGTCTATTCTTAGGGATAAGTGTAGTGAATTGTTATAATTTTTGTCAACTTAGCTTCTCTTTTGAAATTTCTCATACCAGAAGCATGACTCAGTCACCCTGGGTACCAGGTATATACCACATCCAAATGACTCAGGCTTGTGGCCAGAGATAAGAGCTTAGCAACATCTCCTCTGCCAGCAGTGTGCATGCATGTGTGCATGTGTGTGTGTGTGTGTGTGTGTGTGTGTGTGTGTGTGTGTGTGTGTGTGTGTGCTTTAAATGAGACATTCTGGAATTTGTCACAAATTTAAAGTTACAGTTGATCCCCTTATATATGTCACCAGTTGCCACACTTTTTACATTGAGTGACCTGTGAATAAAGAACTGACTCACACTTTCCCTTAGCCAGGATCTGAAAGTGAAAGTGTTTTCCTTGCCTGATAATGTACTGGTTTTTTGAATCTGCAACTTCTGACAAACCAGAGGCTACCTAAAGCCAGAGGTTGGGCTCTTTTTTTCTTTTTTCTTTTTCCAAGACAGGGTTCTTTGTGTAACAGCTCTAGCTGGAAAGGTTGGGTTCTTAAGACAAGGGATGGCCAGGTAGTCACTGGATATGGGTCAAATGGAAGCCCAGGTCACCCACCGGTGTACATGTTCCCTGTGTGAGGGACTTTCTGGTTGTGCATAGTGTGGGACTTTCAAAGGGCACACCTTGAGCCCTCAACTCCTGAGGTCTTCTAGGGAAGCCTGATAATAAACTTTGGTGTTGGAACCCCAACTGAGATAATTTCTAATTGCTTTCTAGAACCTGGGACCTTGGGCATGTTAGACAAGAGCTATGTCACAAAGCTGTGTCCTTAACCCTGGCTCCCCGGCTTAACCGAGGCCTCTCAAAACAATAGAACAACGATCATGATCTTTGATTTTTATACAAATCAGTGGGGAAAACTCTTGAGGGTGCACCCGTGTTTCCATCTTCACTGCCGCACCTCAGCAAGCCCAAGAAACTGCTTTTTGTAATTTGGCAAGTCATACTTTCAGCTTTAATTCAATTTGTAATTTAATTTGTAAACGAAAGCATACACAGTGGTAGTGGTTTAGATTAACAGTAAAGCTAGGGTAGTCAGAGTACGACGAAACTTCCTTAAAGTCATATAGGCTGGTAGTTCCCAAATGGACGACTGCTAGAGAGGTTGCCGTCTTTCCGTTGCGGAGGAGCTCAGGAGTCAGGCTGCCAGCGTTGGTATCTTGCATCCATCATCTTACTGGTTGCGTTTCTTGAGCCAAGTTTCTGAGCATCTCTGACTTTTAGTTTCCTTGTCTGTAAGATGAGGATTATAATAATTCTGATGCTATAGGGTCTCTAAAATTCAATGAATTTACTATGCAGAACACTCAGTGCCTGGCTCGTAATAATTGGTACTTGATTATGTTTATGATCTGTTATATAAAATAGTCTGGAATAACATGAAGATGTACCTTGACTTGTGATGAAGTCATGCCTCCATAAACCCATTATAAAGTACAGTAAGCAGTAACATGCGTTTAACATAGCTAGCCTGATCATCATGCTATAGCAACATTGTAAAGCAGAGAACATGCCTGGAAGCTGTTTATCCTGTGATCACATGACTGCCCTGGAAGCTTGTAGTGTCAGTGTATCAGAGTATTGGAACACATATCACTAGCCTTGGAAAAGACTGAACATCGAAGTTTCAAGTGTGCTTTCTGCAGAATGTGCATGCCTTTTCTACCATCGTAAGTTAGACTCCTGTCAAGCCCTCCAAAGTCTGTTTGACCTGACCATCTTCACTCTAATAGGGTACACGCTCTTACACTGCGCTGCAGCTTGGGGCCGTCTGGAAACTTTGAAGGCCCTGGTGGAACTGGATGTTGATATAGAGGCTTTGAACTTCCGGGGAGAGAAAGCTCGAGATGTTGCTGCTCGCTATTCTCAGACTGAGTGTGTTCAGTTTCTGGACTGGGCAGGTAAGGAGCACAAGTGATGCTAAGATGATTGAGGCCATAGAATGAGATGATTGACATTTCTGCCTTCCAGCTAGATGCTGTATTTTCTGTTGTCAATCTATGAAGATTGCCTTCATTTTTTCTTTTCTCTTTCACTTTGCTATTGACCATAAAGCATTGCTCTTAATTATAACTCTCTCTCTCTCTCTCTCTCTCTCTCTCTCTCTCTCTCTCTCTCTCTCTCTCTCTCTCTTATTGGTTTACCAACTTCTAACAATTTAAGCAATACATTTCCATGAGATTATACATACAATATATGTTCAAGGTTGTTTCTGAGAGACTTTGTGTGTGTGTTGATTTACCAACTTCTAACAATTTAAGTAATAAATTTCCACGGGACGATATATGCAGTTATGTTCAAGGTTGTTTTCTGAAAGACCCAGGCAAAGCACACTATTACTTAAATGTTTCAAATATTAGCATATTTAAGTAATATATTTGACCCCAGAGAGAAAAATTATTATTGATAATTTAAAAAAATTCCTAGGAAAAGTTAACCTATGGTGTTAGTAACTCAAATCACAATTACCCTATTGCATGGAAGAACTTCTGAGACCAGTTATTCTAAGTTTGGCCTCTGGTTATATGAATATTTTATTTATGGAATTTCATTGAAATGTACACTTAAATTTTTTATGTCTTCTATGCATATTCTATTTCAACAGAGTCCAAAAATGTATGTGCTACCTTGAATTTTGCTCACATTTTCCTCTATAATTCTCAATATCTGTAAAATATAGCTTGAAAAAGATACATCTGTGTAACTTCCTGTGTGGGCTTACAAACTTCAAACAATTTTGTATGGTTATCTGTGCTGAGCAAACTTTTATGGAATTCCTACTACTGAATATTCTAATATTGTTGTAGGTATAGCTTGTTTCTGCCATCTGGACGTTTTGTTTTCAGAGGAACAATTATCTAGAAATCATTTGGCAATTATTTAACAGTATCAGAAAGATACAAATATAAAAAGAAAGGTTAAGGGTAAAAATTGACAGGAAAGGCAGTCCAGGCCCTGAGATAGAGGACAGGAAGTCAGCTTGTTGGGGTTCACCTGGGCCTTGCCAAATGAATGGGACTTGAAAACATAGTAGCACAACTAAGCACATAAATGGAATGTTAGATCTGGGGATGAAAGTGACAAGATTATCTTACTGGAGCCTATGTCATAGCTTCCATAGGCAATCAAGAGTGTATGTGGAAGGGGGGAGCACATGGTCCCTAGAGGATGCTTGGGTTTGAATCCTATGTGAGTGTGAGCAGAGTACTCCAGTTCTTTATATCCAAGTATCCTTTTCTGGAGAGAGGGGCCAATAATGGATCCTTCCTCTTGAGACTTGTGAAAGCTAAATGATACAGTGTAAAGCACATAGAAACTACCTGTCATGTTTAAAAAAATTGTCAGTCTGAAAAAAAAGTGCTGCTGCTATAATTACCACCAGATTGTACCCTTATGTGACAGGTTAAGGTGTTTTCTTTTTATTCTGGGAGCCACATTAGTAACTGTGGATTCCTTTTCATTCGAGTGGAAAGCCAGACTTGTCTGAAAAATTTCCACTATAGGTTGTGGAAAGAAAAAAAGGAACCCTACACCAGCTCCCAAAGAAATCTTTCCTCCTCAGACAGTTCTGGAAATCGATTTCTTCTGCACTTGACTGAACTACATTTGCATGTGCTTAGATTTTGTACCCTTTGGCTCCTCTCCTCTTTTAATCTTCCTCCTCTTTAGTTTACGTTGTTGCTTAAATTTCTTAAAGGAAGAATGTTGGGACACCTGCTTCAGGAACTTGGTCATCATGGATGTTGTGGCCAGTAGTCTGCAGAGTATTTGTTCAATGTCGTAGATGGATGGGCTCTCTAGGTCACTGCTGTGTTTCTCTAAAGAGGCTTGCTTTTTCAGCTGAAAGAGCAAAACAAATGATCTTTGTCTTATTTCAAAGTAAACTTATATTCTGGATAAACAAACTTAAACACTGCTAAGATGTTCATATAGAACATAGGTTACTGGCCGGGCCGTGGTGGTGCACGCCTTTAATCCCAGCACTGGGGAGGCAGAGGCAGGTGGATCTCTGTGAGTTCGAGGCTGGGCTGGACCGATAGCTCTGAAACAATACAGAGAAACGCTGTCTCGTAAAACCAAAAAAAAAAAAAAAAAAAGGTTACTATAGAAACGATGCTCTTCTTTAATGTGCAAAGCAAGACTAGATTGATCATTGTCACCTCCAGCAAACATTGGTTAGTGTTTTCTAGGGTGAGATCATTTTGCCAAGAGAAATTAGGATGTTTTCCTTCAGGACATGGAGCAATTGAGTCAGTTCTAACCTGATGGCTTCCTCCCGGCTGACTAATTCCCACAGTATTGGAAGGTGCTAGACATGGTGCCCGACTTACCCAGCTGTCAACCCTGTGAACTTCAGTAATGACTGGCATGGCAAGATGTGTTCATGGATGCAATAGTGGCACCCATATCATAGGGGTAACCAAGCTTTCTTTCTTTCTTTTTTTTTTAAGATTTATTTATTCATCACATGCAGTGTTCTGCCTGCAGGCCAGAAGAGGGCACCAGATTGAATTATAGATGGTTGTGAGCCACCATGTTGTTGCTGGGAATTGAACTCAGGACCTCTGGAAGAGCAGTCAGTGCTCTTAACCTCTGAGCCATCTCTCCAGCACCGTAACCAAGCTTTCTGATTGGATTTAACACCTGCTCCACAGGAGGAAACACTTGTCTGATACTGCATATCTGGCTAAGAACCCATGAGTGCAGAGCTCACAGGTCCCATTGGTAAACCTACAAATATTTTGCTAAATGGGCATAGTACCAAACTGCACTCTAAATTTGGGTCTCCTACATGTAGATTAGTGCAACTCTCTTTCTTTGTGCAGGGGATGATAGTTCATGCCGAAACTGATAACTGGTCTGAGTACAGAGAATAAATGACTGTGCCATGCCAATACATAAATGTGACATCTATATCAACATGCCCTTCCCTCAGGCATCATGGAAGAGAGGGGCAGAAAGTTTGAAGGAGCCAGAGGCCAGAGAGGACCAGAGCAAAATGTCTTCTGATCATGACAGGAATTCTGCATTGATGAACTTTACAGCACTTGTGATTGCCTGCATAAGACTTGCACAAGATCAAGTCAATTCACATTTTAGCAGTGGAGTGGGAAGGGGCTCATAATCCCTCACCCCTAAATGAGGAGCTATAGACAATTTACAATTTCGGGGGAAGGGGAGCTAGTTGTCTTTAAGTGCGTGGTTCCTGGCAGGTTGACTTGAATAAAAGCACTCACCAGTACCTGGGGCATCAAATGAGCCTTTAAGATTGTTGTTAGGGATTGGGGACACAGCTCAGTGAGCTGTATAGAGCTTGCCTAGGATGTAGGAGGCCCTAGGTTTAATTCCCAGAACCAAACAAACAAGAAAAATATTTCCCCTTACTAAGCAAGATCACTGTCTAATACAGTAATATTTGAAAAACAAGAAAACATGTATTTAGGTCACTTTGAAGGTCAAAGAGGCATGTGTGCACACATTTAGCAGCGTTCTTGTCTCGAATGATAGTGCCATCTATTGGCAAAATTGGGAACGGAGCACCATTTCCCACTAAGTTCTAACATTTAGAAATTAGTTAATTTACAGCCCCTTGGGAAGCTCATGCCAACTTTTGTAGTGAGCTTTCTTTGATAGACTCTCAGATTCTCCAAAAGACCCCCTTATTTCATATCATTTTATGAGGGGGCTGAGAAAGAGCACGACTTACCGAAGGACAGACAGGTGACCTCACTTCCTATAACCCCACCTACCACATCTCAACATTTTGGTGTGTTTTGCAACTTGAAAGTAGGAGTTGGAGGAGATGATTTAAGGACTTTCTGATTAAATATGCCTCTGTGGAACTCTTAAGAGTGGAAGTGGGGGGGGGAGCAGGGGAGGGGAACTCACAGAACTGGGCAACCTTGCTCTGTGCTCTCTCTGAGATCCTACCACTCCTCCTATTTGCATCACAAATTCACCTTTTTTTGGTGTCTGGTCCATTTCATCCATAGGTAATGCACAGATAAGACAAACAGGATTAAGAAGAGAGCTTGCACTAGGATGTACATGAGGCGTAGGGAACCCTGGATGAGGTCCAAGTTAGCAAAGTTGCAGCAGAATTTGTCCAGAGGGTAAGGTAGACAGTGGGATGGGGGAGCCTTAACTTTCAGGTAGTGCACTTCCTCTGGAAAGATCTCCCATCCGACCTTTGTCCAGGTTGTCCCATCACAAATGCAGGAGGTCTCCCTGAAGAAACAGAAGAACAGCAGGGGGGAAAGCACAGATAGTCTTGGGTTAGACATCTTTTAGTCTTAACTGAGAAGAAAATCTTAAGCTAAAAAAATTGGTCAGACAGGGCAGAAAATGCCCCAAGCACTAGTTAACGTGGTGCTTCTGTCAAGGCCTGTTAGATAATCCTGTTAGGCAGCCCAGCACACCTAGCAAAATGCACAGGGATGATCATTGTTACATCGTCAGTCATAGTGACTCAGGGTAGTAAGTTCAGTGACATCATTTAAAATGCACTGAGATGAAATACTGCACCCAGCGAATCACCCCAGGTTTCTTGAAAGTGAGCAATCAGCTAATATTTTTGGCCAGGGAATGTATTTAGCAATAGGCATGCAATCGTAATAATAAGGCCTCATGAAAACAGACAAACAGACAAAAAACCCCAAAGGTAGTGAAGTCTTGCTGTGGAGCAGCAGAAAGATTGCCTGCTTTGGATTCTGCTGTCCTATTGAGAAGCAGGCTGTGAGAGGGAGAGCTAGGATGTTTAGCTAAAGAGATTCCCACACAAAACATTGAAGGCATGGTTGGTCTCTTTCTTGCTGTCTGTCATAAAATGAGAAAGGAATGGGATGAAACTACTGGAAGAACTGTCAAGTAAAAGGGAGCAGAGCTTGGCAGTGTGGGAATGCAGCAATGCACATCACAGGACAAGCTGCTGTGGTTTGAAATGTGCTCCCCCAAAGCCCCGCGCCCACAGGTATTCTCCTCAGTTTGGTGCTATTGGGAGTCACTGGAAACTTTGAGAGGTGGGACCTAGTGGAAGGTCTGATGACTGGAGAGGGGCCCTTGAAGGGACTGGGGGGATCTCAGCCCCTTCCTGTCCTTTGCATTAGTTTTTGATCACCAGATCTTTGTTCTCATGCCCTCCCTGTTATAATGCTACCGTGCCATAGGCCCAAAGCAATAGGACTAACTACCCAGAGACTGAAACCTGACACTTGAGCCAAAGTAAACCTTATCTCTTTATAAGTTTCTTATTTCAGTCATTTTATTACAGTGACAGAAATTCTATTAATAGCATAGGTGCTAAGTATTAAGAGAGTCCCTGTCAAGAGAGTAGGCTCTGGAGGAAAATACATCAATATGGATGGCAGCTTTTTGCTGCTGAATTATTGGGGATTATGTATCATGCATTCTCTAGCCATCTCTGCAGAAGTCAGTATGGGCATTAAATTATCTACAAAAGATCAGGAGGAGTCTCTTTCTGACTAGATGAATCTCTGTGTTACGTAGGGAGTCTCACAAGGATTTTGAGAATGTTACGTTGATAGAAACACCATTTTTAAATAAAGGAATAGAGAGAAGACAAAAAACAAACCAAGTACTACGGGTCTACCAAAATTTTGTAGACCCGAACAGATTAATAAAGCTAGGACACATTTTTCATTCTGTCTCCTCCTGAGCCAGGGTCTCACTATGAAGTCCAGGCTGTCCTGGAACCCTATGTAACTCACAGATCTTCCAGTCTCTCTTCCTCCCTCTCCCTCCTTCCCTCCCTCCTCCCCCTCTGTCTCTCTGTGTAGTTTTGTACACCGGGTTGGTCTCGAACTCACAGAGATCCACCTGCCTCTGCCTCCTGAGTGCTGAGATTAAAAGCATGTGCCACCACTGCCCAACTCAGCCTCTTAAGTGTTGGAATTATATCTTTGAACTACCAGGTCAGGTTATATGATATAACTCATGAAAAGGAAAAGATGATTCAGTGAGTGAATCCTTGGGCCCAGGGGGTAAAGAAACAGGTCCACAGGGTAGAGAGATACCCTTAGGTCTGAAACCTAGTGGAATTTATATGCTGTAATTTGAATTATTTTGAATGGTAGTGTCTATGCCTATGTTCTGTGCTTGTGCCACCATTAGAATTTGGAAGAAGATAGTTTCTAGCTCATCAGGTCTACAGATAGAGAGGAATTTTGGCCTAGGACAGATCACATACAGTGTCACCTAGACCTTGTGCACATGTTTGAGAGTTTGAGGTTTGAGACTTCTGAGCAGTGATTATTTAGATGAGAATTTGGGTTTTAGCTAATTTGGTCATAGCTTTTGGGGATATTAGGATGGGGTAGATGTATTTTGCCTGAGATGCATGTGATTTGTGAGTGGATGAGAGAGAAGGCTGTTGTGGGCTGGATAATGGCTAACAAGCATTTAGATTCAGATCCCCGAAACATGTGACTGTTACATCATTTAGCAAAAGAGATGTTGCAGATCCTTGGAGTCCTTGAGTGGGAAGATTGCACAGTTTGAACCCACATGTAATCAGCATCTTTATAAACTAGGACAGAGGGAGATTTGACACAGAAGAGAAGGTAACTTGATGATTGAAGCAGGATGTATTTGAAGATGGACGAATGACCATAAGCCAAGAAATAAGGCAGCCAGTGGAAGTTGAAAAAAGGTGATGATTAGTGTCTGCTCAGAGCCTGCAGATCAGCATAACTAGCCTCAGCAATTCTGCCTCTGGAACTGAGAGAGGTTGAATTCCAGCAGTTTTTTTTGTCAGAAAATAGGTTTATTATCAATAGTGAGTGAAGTTGTCAGTATTCACTACAGAGGTTGCATAAGCCAAGGCTCACTTTATATAGATAAAAATGCCTTATTTAACTTGCAATCATAAACATTATTGCAGTAAAAGACGTACATTTTCTCTCCTTTCTGTCTTTCTTGCATGATCATAATAAGTCACAATGAAATAGCTCCTATATAATGAGAGAAGAGCACACCCAGGCCCCACAGCCCAAGCGACTATATACAGTTGCCCCACCCAGTGCTTTCTACCTGCCTCTCCACCAGAAATAGTTTATTGTCCCCAATCCCAGCTTTCTCAGAGTGAATTCTAGCTGTTTTAACCCACCCGATTTGTGGATAATTGATACAGCAGCAACAGGAAACAATTTTATCACATCTAACGTAATTTGGGACTAACCTACAATTTCTAGCATTCAGTATAAGGATATGGTAAGCTCTTCAATTTATTTAAGGCTTTCATTTCTCTCAGTATAGTATACTTTTAAACAGATCTTGTAGTGTGTGTGTGTGTGTGTGTGTGTGTGTGTGCGTGGGCGCGTGAGAGCAGAGAGAGAGAGAGAGAGAGAGAGAGAGAGAGAGAGAGAGAGAGAGAGAGAGAGAGAGAGAGAGAGAGAGAGAGAGAGATGACTATGGGTATTAAAGTAAATGAAAGTATTTTAAGCATTTTTTTTGTAAAGAGGAGATTTTTGAATGTGTGTGTGTGTGTGCGTGGGCGCGTGGGCAAGAGAGAGAGAGAGAGAGAGAGAGAGAGAGAGAAGAGAGAGAGGAGAGAGAGATGACTATGGGTATTAAAGTAAATGAAAGTATTTTAAGCATTTTTTTGTAAAGAGGAGATTTTTGAATGTGTGTGTGTGTGTGTGTGTGTGTGTGTAAGCTCAAGAAAAGAGAAGCAAATGACAATCTGCCTACTGGAAATATTTTTCTCTTGTTGCACTCTTCTCCAGGATGAACATTTGAAAGATATGGTCAATTTGAGACCCAGTGTCACGTTTTATATTTATTTGGGTCTTCAAAAATCCTATCATAATTTTAGGGACACACTGAGCATTCTGAAGTGATGAGTCCTTGAGTGCTGTTTTCTTGAATTCATCAAAGACAGCGATAGTGGACCCTCTACACAAACCTCACTGAGTTCTGGCTGCATGATGGACTGCACAAATAGAGCAACTTGCCCTTGTTTTTTGGTCTTATTTTATTTGTTTTGTTCCATTCTTTCAGATGCAAGGCTGGTTCTGAAAAAATTTATTACAAAATCCTCTCTCATCATTACTGACCCAGAAAAGGGCCCAGGGAAACTCCTCAAGGAAGACAAGGTACCATGTTGTGATTATTACCTGTCCTGATGTTCTAGAGGTAGACGGCTCTCCTTGTGCTCCCCTGCCCTCCTCCAGCTCCTTTCTTTCCCTCCCCCTCTCCCTTCTCTAGTAAACATCTGAAAAGAGATTAGATGATACAAAGTAAGTGAAATTGATGTACAAGACATTGCACCTGACCACATGGGTGAATATTAGAACGCTGTACTGAGTGAAAATTTGGGAAAAAAAAGCAAAACCACTAAAACTTGCAAAGGTTTTTAGAAAGCACCCCCAAAGTGATACCTATTTAAAGCATGTATCATGCTACTGTCTCTGGGGCAGGTAGTGAGAGGTGAGGAGGAACTGGGAGCTGTTAATTTTCTACTCTTCTGTTGAGATACTGTGCTCCTTTGATATTCAGTTCTATATAAAACATACATGGTACACTTTAGTACATATGAATATATATATATTACATGTATAAAATCTCTGATAATGGTCTACAGACCGAGTTCCAGGACAACCTCCAAAGCATTACAGAGAAATTCTGTCTAGGAAACCAAAAGAAAAAAAAAGTTGTACCCAATAAGCTGGGCATAGTGGTGGCCTGTGTTCCAACATTTGGGAAGCTGAGGCAGGATGATTACCTTGAGTTCTAGGCAAGACTGGCTGCACTCTGAGAACCAGGCCAGCCAGGGATACATAACAAGACCCTGTGCCAAAACACTAAATATGTTCCAAATATAAGACATATGTAATGAGTTTAAATTGCTCTCTGTGTTGCTGTGTAGGATCCATGAGAATTTATTTTGACATTATTTGATGAAAATCCCAGTTAGCCCTTGCTTAATGGGCATCAGCAAATCTCACTAAGGCACACATTGCCCTTGTATCTTCATAAACACCTTTACAGTATTTCTTGTGAAAGAAAATACAGAAAATGTTCGGTGAGAGCAGGTACTAGGGTTGTTGGACCTGCAGCTCCCATGGGTCTCACCATGAAGGAACAGTGCTTTGTCAGATGAGACTAGAAACGCCTTTACATTTCAGTGAAAATGTAATATGCACACCCCACTAATTAGAAAAAATTCCCTTCTCATTTCCAGTTTTATTACACTGGAGTTCTGATAGTGATTTTGTGTGATTTGCATCGTATCTTCCTCTTTATTTATATAAATACAGATAATAGAGGTTTGTAAAAATCCTATTGCTAAAAAAGTGGGATCTTACTATATAGATTACTCTTATTGTTAACTTGTTTTTTCTCTCTGGGTATCTTATGGACACTTCCTTGAATCTGTCTCTTTTGCAAGCTTCTGTATCTATGGCTTATTATTTAGTACTTTGGAAAGTACACATCAACAGGCTGTTAATTTGTATTCATTATTATAAATCTTACTGTAAGAAACACTTTCCTACTTTTAATTTTTCTGGCTGACACATTCTGTCTGTAGGTATGAGGCGTGCGTGAGAACTGTTTTTGAACAGACACCAGGAATGTGTGTGGGTGTGCAGTTTGACAGAACTTTTTTTGAACTTCCTCCTCCATTTTTACTGAGTTTCCTGTAGCTCATACCATCCACTATTTCCCCAAAGCTTTATTTGTTTTTATTTTATGTGCATGAGTGTTTATCAGCATGTACATATGTGCACTGTGTGTGCAGTACCTATAGAGGCCAGAAGAGGGTGTAGGATCCCCTGGAACTGAAGTTACAGATGGTTGTGAACTGCCATGTGAGTACTAGGAACTGAACTCAGGTTCCCCGCAAGAATTGCAAGTGCTCTTAACTGCTGAGCCATAGCTCCAGCCCTACTATCCACCTAATTTTCATCTTTTGCAAACACTTCTCTCATCCAGAGGGCTCAATAAAAACAGAGACTCAGGGAGAAAAGGTAGGCTGGTTTAAGGTTTCTCGATGCTCAATGATGAGTATAATGACTTCTCATTCTAATGGTTAGACAGCTCAGTAGTCAGAAGCCACATACTATTTCAGTTTTAATTATTTAAAATTAAATGTAACTTAAAATTTAGTTCTTCAGTCACACCAGCCAGCCTTCAAATACCCAAGAGCTAAGGGTTACAGTATTGGATGAGGTTCTGATAGCAAGCCTTAAGAGATACTTCAGTTTGCAAAGACAATATTACATTTATTTATTGTGTGTGTATGTGCCTGTGTGTGTGCTTGGGTGTGTGTGTGTGTGTGTGCACATGTGCATGCATGTGTTGAGGTCAGAGGACAGCTTAGGTGAATCTGTTCTCTCCTTCCACTGTGTGGGTTCCATGTGTCAAATTCAGGTCATCAGACTTGATAGAAGTGCCTTTAGCCACTAGCTATCCTACTGATCCCAGCGACACTGAAGTCTTACTTTTCAATAAATAAGTGGCAGTATTCACTGTCTCTGCTCCCAGAACACTATCCTCAATGCATGCCGTATGAAGAACGAGTGGTTGGAAACCCATCCAGAAGCTTCCATCAGTGAGCTTTTTGAGCAGAAACAACAACTAGAGGACATTGTGGCTCCCATCCTCACAAAAATGTCTACACCACGTAAGTTTTGGGCTTCAGTGTCAAGATATATATATATATATATATATATATATATATATATATATATAATCCAGTTCAGTGTTGTTCTTTCTGATACACTATTATTTTTAACTATCGTCATTCCACTAATAATAACTGAATTCTTTTTGTAAGATATGCCTGATTCTAATCTTGATATTACATTTATCAGTTGTTAAATTTAATATGATTGTATTGTTTTGTATGATTTATTTTATGAGCGTTTTTCCTGCATGCATGTATATGTATCCTTATGGATGCCTAGTGCCCTTGGAGGTCAGAGGGTGTCAGATCCCTCAGAAATGGAACTAAAGATGGTTGTGAACCACCATGTGGATGCTGGGGACTGAACCCAGGTCTCCTGCAAGAGCTTCCAGTCCTCTTAGCCACTGTATAATCTTCCCAGCCATTCCTTTCAGTCTTTTGAAATAGGGTCTTACTATGTGGCTCAGGTTGCCTGTGCCCACTGGATGCTGGGTTACAGGTGCCACCTTGCCCAGCTTATGCTACGGATTTTATTTAGCCTGAGATTCTCACCCAGGAGAGGATGCTCTTGTGGGAGACAGGGTATGAGAGTCTGGAAAAGATTTTCAGTATTATGATTCTGTTTTTGGTTGGGGGACACCACTGTGGAAAGGATATCCCAATACCAGAAGACACACACACATCAGAATCTCACTAGCAGGTATATCTAAGATTTAAAAAATGGTAGCATTATTGTCAGACAATTTTCATGAAATTCACCCCTTAAAGCTCCAATCAGTGCTTCTCAGTATATTCACAAAGTTGTATAATTATCACCATTTCTAGCTTTAGGCCTTTTGCTACCCCATAAAGAATCCCTACACTTACTAACAGGCACCTTCTATCCCTCCCTGCCAGGTTCTGGCAATCATTGCTTTCCTTTCTAACTTTATGGGTTTGTTTGACACAGAGTCTTGCTATGTAGCCCTGCCCGGATTGGAGCTTGTGATGTAGACCAGGCTGATGTGAAACTTGATATAATCCTCCTGCCTTATCCTGTCAAGTGCTGGGATTACAGATGTGAGACAGTGCCCAGCTTAGATCTGGTTACTCTGAACTCTTCATAAAAAGAGTCACAACATACATTTGCCCTTTGTGATTGGCTTCTGTTCCTTGGCATACTGCTTATATTGTTCATTTATTCTGTACTACGTATTACTATTTCATATTGGTAAATAAAATCCCATTGTATGAATACAAGTTTAATCCATTTACCAACCAGAGGACATTTTGGTTTTCACTCTTGGGCTAGTATACATAATGTTGATATGAGCTGTCTATTGCCATATGCTTTTATTTTTCTTTGGTATGTAAACAGGAGTGGCAATGCTGGGTTCCTTCTGAGGAACTGCTAAGCTGTTTTCCATTCTCATCACGGAAGAGCTATGTGGCACACCTTTGTTAGTGTTTATTACTGTCTTTAAAGTACCTTAGACGCACTAAGTGGGTGTGAAGTGACACCATACTCTGATTTGAATTTCCCTAATCACTAATAATTATAAGCATCTTCTCATGTGTTTATTGGTCATTTGTATAATTATGCTGGAGAACTATCCATTTTGATTATTTTAAAATTTAAAATTGAAGTACCTTGTCGTAACGGTTCTTTATATATTCTGGATACAAGTCTATTATCAGAAACAGGACTCTGAGCTGGACATGGTGACAAATGCCTGCAATCCCACACTGGGAAGGCTGAGGCAGGAGGCTCATGAATTTGAGGTTACCTTAGGCCATCACTACCCACTGCTGACAAATAGACTTCACTTCCGTGTTCCCTGGGAGCTGAAGGAAGGATGGATGCAAAGGAAGAGCTGCACAAGCAATGCAAAGAAGGGTTCATCTTCTTGGTCTTTCATCCAAGTCACTCGTGGGGCAGAAAATGTTTCAAATGCCAAAGGAGACTTCATGTAAGTTTCCAGAATGTCTCCAGAGACCCACTTGGACAGCCCAGAATAATCAGGGTGTTTCCTTTAGTTAGCAAAAGACTCTAACTTGAATTACTCCCACCCTATAAAAGAAGGAAGAAACTGGCCATCCAGGGAGGCACATCCTAATTGCAGCTAAAGATGAAAGAGTGACACTAAATCCCAATCTCCAGCCTCCACACTTGTCTGTGTTGTGGCTCAGTTAATGAATAGCTTCGCCACAGCACTGAGCCAGCAATGCCCTGTCTGCTCACTGTGGGGCTGTGAGGTAACAGGGCCCAGGATTTTGCCGCCAGCTTTCCATTACTCTTTTGGCTATTAACAGATGTGACTGAGACAGCGCTGCCTGAGTTTGTCTTCATTTTCTTGGTTATATCTTTTAAAGCACAAAAGCTCTGTCTTTCTTTTGATTGGCTGACACTGTCATTTCTGAGATACATTGCCTAATCCAAGGCTACCAAGATGTAAATTTATGGTTTTCAGTCAGAGTTTTATAGCTTTTGTATTTAATCCTGTGGTATATTTTGTTACTTTAAAAAAAAACATGGCATGGGATGGAGTTCAATTTCACTTTGTGTGTGTGGCATTCTTTACCTAAGCTTTTGATGTCTGTCAAGAGGGGTTGAGGGTTTTAAGAGGCTGAGACAATTAAGCGAGTGTAGGTGGTATGAGGGGCTTGCCCTTGCCATCTATGTAACTAATGTCTACTGAGCAGGTAGGTGGCACTTTCCTAGGTGCCTTGAAGGGAGACAGAGTCTTTAGAGTAACCCCCTCCCCAGAAGCAACTGCTTGTGTACATTGTGAGTAAACCATGTATACCCAGGAAGGTGAACTTCAGAGAGGCCCAGAGGAACAAAGAGAAAGCACCTGAGGCAGGAGGGATTGCTGCCACGAAGCCAGGGTAGAGTGACAATCTTAGAGTGAGAGCACAGGCTACTGACAAAAGGTTCAGATTAGGGACTAAGGAGGTGGAGAGGTCCCATCTGGCTGATCGTAGTCCTTGTGTCAAGGCAGGGCAGAAAACAGGGCCACAGATCGTTTTGTTAAAACTACCAAAAACCAATCTGACAGCCTTAAGCTTTAAGCTTTATTTGATGGGCAGTGGTGGGATGCCATTACAGAGCTTTTAGGTCTGGAGAGAGCTCAGTAATAAAATGCTTGCCTCACAAACATGAGGACCTGAGTTTGATCTCTAGAAGCTCACTGCAGTAGATGCCATGTGCTTGTTCCAGTGCTGGGGTAGTGGACATAGGCAGATGCCTGGGGCTCACTTGCAGGCTAGTCTTGCCAAATCTGCAAGCTTGGGCCAATGAGAGACTCTGTCTCAAAAAACAACGTGGGCATGTCCTGAAGTGGGACACTTGAAGTTGTCCTGTAACTTCCAAAGACCCATGGATCCACATGCACTACACACAAATGCATCTGTACAAGCTCCACTCCCCCCACACCCACATGCACATGCACACGAACATGTGTTTAGTGTTGTGTGACTAATCCCAGAGCCTCAGATGGCTGGAGCAGGAGGACCATGAGTGTGAGGCTCGCCTGAGCTACATAGCAAGGCCCTGTCTCAAACACCCAAAGAAACAGACCTTTAGGGTGGCAGAGAAGAGGGACTAAGTAAGGGGGGATAATCTGCCTTTCTTTATGAAGTGGTTTGGAGAGAGGAAATTCGAGGAGGTCAAGCCCTACAGTCCAGAAGTGAGGTGATTAGGACTTCAGTGACTGGTTAGACAGTCCATTTCCCACCTAGTCCATCGCCATTACTGAGTCCACCCAACAGTCCTCCTTTCCCCTCTCACCTCTGCAGAAGAATTGCCTCTCTCCTCAGGTCCCTGTGTTACAGGTGTCCCCTCTAGGCACCATAGCATAAGACGCCATGCTGGGTCGATGGAACCTCTGAAATGATCCTTCATTTTACAACAAAGAAATGAAGATGAAAGAGGTTCAGCATTTTAATCAGAGTTCCTCTAGGCAGTGGTCTAACAAACACCAGGCAAAGCGAGTGTGGGAAAAGTGTGTCCTTGTGGGTTTACCCAAGTGCCAGGGTTTAATTAATGGCTGATTCAGGCTAGGATACACTGAAGTATTCCATGCCCATTGTTTGAAAAACTGGCTTCTGCATGTTCCATATCTCAAGCTGATTAAATGTTATTTAAAAATGTGCTTCTTTCAGGTCAAGTGAAAAGTGCCAAATCGATGACCTAAGCCGTGGTCAGCAAAGCAATCAAGATTGTAACTTCTACAGGCCCCACTCGGTGTAGAAGGCTACATTATCTTCAAGTATTAGATAAGACAAACCCATTCCTGACAGCTGAACTCAAGAAATAGACCCAGGGTTTTGAGGAAATGTTTGGGTCCAAATTCAGTCACCCTGGCTTTGTGTAAGGCTATTCAGAATACTCCCACCTGGCTCAGGGGCTGGGCCTCTGCTCCCCTAGACACATCTCCTCAAGTGTCCTCCAAGCATGGCTCCTCATGAGTTCCTGCATCCCTTTGGAAGAGCTGAACAAGGATTTAAAAACCACACAGAGAAACTAATAATCTTCTGTGTAGCCGAGGCAAGAAATTTCCACTAGACTAGGGAAATCCCTTTTTAAAAAGATGCACTAGGCCACTTCTAAAGGAAAAGCATTTGTTCGTTCTCTCTCAAACAGCAAACACTAAGAACTGCTTGGGGCAGGCTCTTCTGATTTTAGCTGTAACTTTTTATTTCTGAATTAAAATTCACCTGGAAGGTGAGGGACAGTTTTTGAGAAAAGCCCACTGTTACCTTTAATATCTGTAATAAATACAAATCTGTCTAGCCTCTCCTCTCCAGGGGATTTGGTAATATTGTCCAGGTTTCAAAGGTCATGGTTACCCCCAAAGTTCTTTGGAAAGCCCTTTTTCTAGTCAAATTAAGCAGGACCCTGCACTTCCTATTCCTTTGTGACTTTCTGGGAAAGATTTTATAGAAAATAAAATGTAAAAAAAAGGAGAGAGAGAATATTCCTCATTCCTCCTCTTTGTCTTGCTATGCAAACTATTTTTCACTTTAGAGGAGAAAGAGAACAAGGAAGTCATTCATAGTTCTCTTAGACACAATATTGAGGAATGTTGGTTTGAATGTTTCCCTAAATCTCACTTTTGAGATCTTTTGGCTATATGAGCAATTTCCATTCATCTTCCTTCAGTGGAAGCATTAATGTGTGAGATACCCCGAGTATTTGCTGCTGGTGGTAGAAGGGGATCTGTGTTTGGCCCTTTTAATACACGTATTTCAGGATACTCTGTACATCAACAGTGTGATCACTGGGAAGAGGCTGGGTGCCCTTCTTTGTTGCTGTTATTTTCATTCTAAGCCACATTTCCTGAGCCTTGATCAGGAATGAATACAGCAGTGCTTTCCAGGTCTGTGCTCCTGGTAAGTAGGAAGCGAGAACTGTATTGGTGGCACACGCCTTTAATCCCACCACTCGGGAGGCAGGCGGATGTTTGTGAGTTTGAGGCCAGCCTGGTCTACAGCCTCCAAAACAATATAGAGAAACCCTGTCTCCAAAAACAAAACAAAACAAAACAAAACAAAACAAAAACAAAAAAAGAAAGTGAGAACTGAAACATGCTTCTATTCCTAGGTAAGACAGAAGCATTTTTAACCATCTACTAGAATAGCCTCTCTCTCCCTCTTTAGCCTTGCTATCTTTGTCTGCAGACATTTTATAGCCTTTGATACTCTTGATAACACTGTATTTGTACAATTCCTTGCACTGGCACCTTTATACCAGCACCCAGACTTTGTTACAACCTACTTTTCTAACTCCCCACTATCTTCTCTTCTTTGAGACCCTCGCCGTCAGAACCTCTCAGAATTCAATTCTGATTCTTGGTGGGGCAATTGTTTTTCTTCACCCCACGACAGTCCCTGTCTCCACATTACAGATATCTAACCCTTCCTTCCTTCTTTGGGGCACTTATGGTGCCAGAAACCTCATTCTGGGTTCAGTGTAATTAATTATGTTTAATCTCATCATGTGAATGAACAATGATATTTCTGAAAGAATGTTTTTTGCTTTTCATCATACCTAAAGAGTTTGTAAAATACTAAGTCAGTAAATAAAAGTTGAATTGACTCACTTAGCATACCTTCCTCCCAGTACTTAGCTCTGCCTAGTACTATCCAGAACTCATTCTGTCTCCATCCATTTATAGAGCTTGATTACATTATAGAAATGATATCAACCTTATGTCTTGCTTATGTCAGTGCACTATGGCAATACCTATTCCCTCAACAGACAAGCCATATCTACATCAGACATTGCAGCTCTATGTCTGCTTCAACTTTGTATTTCCTGAACTGTCATCTCAGATATCATGGACATGGTGATTTACAAGAGATTCTTGGATCTCATTTCAGAGATTCCTTTGATGTGGGGTTCTGAACACTTATTTATAATATCTGTTGATCTATACCTTCTGTTTTGCAAGAGATGATATCAATTATTACCTGCTGTTGCACTGACTTATAGATAGATTAATAGAAGATTTAAATGCTCTTATGTTGTGAGTTTGATGTTATTTCATTAGCTGAATGGTGTCTTCTGAACTTGCATAAGTAATTACTTTTTTAAAAGCACATGTTAACAATTCAGGAGTGCCTCCACACTGACTGAAAGGCAGTCAAAGGATAATCCAATGTTATAATCAGTTCTAGATGGTAGTTCTTTAGATTTTGTGCTTCACTAACCATAAAAAATGTAAAAATAAAGGTAGGATATTATTATAACATTATTAAAATAACAACTTCTGCCCTTTGCCACTGTTATGTAACAAAAGATGTTTCAACAGTAAAAAAAGTAGGATAAAGAAAACAAGGAAGTCATTCATACTAACACTTGCTAAGTAATGTTATCTTAGACACAGCATTGAGGTAATCTTGGTTTAAATGTTTCCCCAAATCTCACTTTTGAGATCTTTTGACTATATGAACAATTCCCATTTGGCTTCCTTCAGTAGCAACATTAATGTTGGTTCACCTGTGAGATACCCTGAGTATTCGCTGCTGACAGTCAAAGGGGATCTGTGTTTGGGCCTTTTAATACACGTATTTCAGGAGACTCTGCACATCAGCACTGGGATCACTGGGAAGAGGCCAGGTGCCCTTCTTCATTGCTGTTATTTTATTCTAAGCCACACTTAGGCTTCGATGATGGTTAGAACTTTGTTAGATTTACTTTTCTCATCTTGCCGTGTATGATAGAATTTCATCATACACCAGAACTGATGTGGCGTCTAACCTTTGACAACTACTGCTCTAGAACAATGGAGGTAGACTGATGTCTATTTTAATAACAACAAAACCCCCACATTGTAAAGTCTGACAGTTACTCCAGTGTTTGTCTAATATGCAGTGGATTATATTGTCCAGGATAGCCCATTTCACTCACTCCTCTTGCTATGTGGCCCTGACATTCCTAATGTAGAAATATGAGTATCTGAGCTCTCTTGAATCTGGAGAGCTCATGACTATAGTTGAAAGTGATTCTGTGTCATTTCCACGGCTAGGTTATAAGAGGTGATGTGCTTCTGCCTCAGTCTCCTAAGATACCACCTGAGAAACCAGCCTGTGAGGAGACCAACAAGGAAAGGAACTGTTGCTCAAGCCTGCAGCTCTGACTTCACTCCGTCCACCTAACCATTGCTGCCAACCTGCCTGACTATGAGTGAGTCATCTTGGAAATGGATTCTTCAGTCGAGCCACTAACTATTTGCTATATGGAGTGGAGGCAACTTTCTCTGCTGAATCCTACCAGGATCATGGACTTCTGAGATAAATAAATGTTTTGTTTTAAGCCACCTGGCTTTGTATTTATTGTTTCCACAGTAAAATATGTAACATGTAAACATAACACAGTAAAATATACACATGTTGGAACTCAGAAATGTCAGGTGACATAATGAAGGCCAGACTAGGTGACTTTGGTTCTGAAACTGAAAGGTGGGTTGCAGCTGCAGAGGTCTGGAGGGGAGCATGAGTGACAACCTCCAGGCCTGAAGTACAGCCTGACCAGAAGCCTTCAGATCCTCTATAAGGCTACTAGAGGGAGTCTAGAAGAAGGAGGGAAATGTTCCTGCAAGCTGGAGAAAAGGACTCTTGTTATGAGGCAACAGGAAGTTTTTTATGATGTTATGTGATGAATACAAAGATTCAGTGAATATGTCCCAATTTAGCCCCAGAGCTACCTCACCGTTTCCAATGTGGAAGGGTCTGAGCTGAAGAAAGGAACACACCAGCTTTCAAGTAAAATTAGAAAGAGCTGTACATGTGTGAGTAGCTACTGGGTTTGAAATTGAAGCTGCTCTTTACTTCCCAGCCTTTCTAGGTGACAAAAGTTATGAAACCAAGAAATAACTTACTGGTTTCCAGGGACTACAGGGACATCTGTCAAGAAATCAGAGATACTTAAGATGGCATCTCAGGGTTCTCAGACAATGGGGCTTTTTGTCATGTGGTTGGGAAGATGGTTTCCAGGTGTTCTAGGATAGCATCACAGCCACACCCAGATGGAAATGGAACTGCCACATCTATCTCCCTTTCTCAGCGGTGGCATATGTCAGTGTAAGGAACTGTCTGACCTACCTTTCTGTAGTTCCATGTCCACCCTTGACCAAATCAGCTTATTGGGAGATGGAAAATTATGACTGGCTCATCTGTATTGCTGGCCCATCCCAGTCACATAGCATTGTCTGTTGTCAGAAGATAGGATGGGGCAAAGCCCACTTTAGCCTCTGAGCTCCCCAAGGCTGTCAACACCTACTTCTGCTGGCCTTGCTCAAAACGGTGAAATATGAATTTTATTTATTTCTTATTTTGAGACAGGGTTTCTCTGTGTATCCCTGACTGTCCTAGAACTTGCTCTGTAGACCAGGCTGGCCTCAACTCAGAGATCTGCTTGTCCTCTGCTTCCTGAGTGCGAAATATAAATTTACTATGGCTTTCAAAAAGAATGTAATGAAGAATAGCTTGTTCATTCGTTTAGTTAGAAGCTGTCTCTGGCTTTCAGTACCATGGGTAAGCCAGAACTGAATATACATTTTGTCCATGTTTCCTGAGGTCTGTGGACTTGGAGAACCTGAATCTTGAAACTTAAAACTACAACAGTTACAGTCACAAGGGTTGGGGGAACCAAGAGAGCCTGAGGGGACACCAGTGAAACAGGAGCTAAACATAGCAGGGAAAGGCATTGTTTAGAGTGACCGGAGACAGTGAGACTGAGGGGCCAAGGTGACGTGAGTGCAATCGAGAGAGAGCATAGTGAGGGGGCACCAGGCGAGGGAAAGGAAGACAGCATAGGGATGGGGAAGGGTAGTACAAAGCATGAATGTGAGCAAAGTGTAACATACATGTATAAGATGCTACAATGAAAGCCATTATTTTGAATGCCAGCTTAAAGTTAATTTTAGAAATGAATAAGAGAGAAGACAGTGCAGTGTTGAAGGGGGTCAGGGCTGAACTAGAGAGAACTGGCATAAGAAAGACATCATGTATGCTTTTAAATCCCCAGAGGTTCTGTCTATGTGGCTATCTTTGACCCTTTCATCTGTTATGCCAGGCAAAGGAAATCAGTTAAAAACAGTTGTAGGTGTAGACTACAGTGTGGCCATTAAATGCATGCTCCTCTGCAACTCAATAACTCCCTTTGGATTGGAGGTGGGAATAATGGGTGCAGCCAATCAGAACAAAAGCAGGTTGGCAAGAAACCAATGGGGTGTCAGCATGGAAACAGCTTTGGTTTTGGTATCAGTTGGTGGGACTGGCCCTGGCAAACAGATACAGAGCTGAGCACAACGGAGCCCTTTCTTTGGGATTTTGAAAGGCTGCAGTTTGATGTCAACTCTGAGCCATCTTAGGCTTGGAAGGACACTTCTCTGGGGAGAGCTTGGTTTTAAGGTCATTAACATGGGGATGAGGGCTTGGAGATGAAGAACTGCTTGAGGGCTAGGGAGTAACTTGAAGATGTAGCGGCCACCTCTTTCTTTACATTAGAGTCCTTGTGACTGATAACAAATGAGTATAAAACGGGGCAAAAGATGAAGTCTATTCCTAAGGTGACTTCAGAAACTTCCAGGAGTTGTTAGGTTCAGGCTAGCTATAAGAATAAAACAGAAGAACCCAAGTCCTTTTCATGACCATCATGTACATTTATGCAGGCAATGCCTTACACAGGACACCAGTTTAGTGGGGGCATCAGGGATGGTATTCAGTCCGTTGATATGACAAGCCACCTGCCTGAGGTCAGGCTTCATGGTCCTGAGGAAGAGGTACTTTTTCTACTTCAGTCAAGGACTTCACACAATTAAACCTCAACCTCAATCTTTGCAGATTTTAAAAAAATATGTTTTACCCCCCTCCCACTCCCTACTTTAACTGATCTGATGCAACTTATTTTGCTTCTCGTTTGCTGAGAGAGGAACAGGAATGTTTGAAGTTGAAGCAGTCACGTGGAATTCCAGAGTGACCTTTACTCAAGGAGAACGAGGAGCATGGCGTTTGTCTTGGCTCCTTCCCTCTCAAAGCCTTCGCCCCATCAGGTGTTTATGATGAGCCTGTCTTGTGCTGTGAACCATGTTTACAGCCTTAATGAAAGTAAAAGCTCAGTCTTGGCCTTTGAGAGACTCAATGCTCCAAGCAGGCACATGGTCAGATCGCCACAAGGATAGTGCAGTCATGGTCCACTCCTTCTCACATGTAGGTAGTACTGGGATCATGAAACACAAACCCTGCTGCTACTTCCCTGAAGATATTCCTGGAGCATGAAGGAGAGTGAGTGGCATTAATGTGCTCAGATCTGAGTGTGCTACCACCTCAGCTAGGTGGAGTGTGGATGGATTGGATCCTGGTAGACCTCACTCCCAACACCTCTTCTTTTTTTCATTTTACAACAGGGTGGTCTACCATAATGCAAATGGCTCCTGAAAAAGCAATAGTAAACAATTTATCTTTCTGGGCATCAAGAGATGACAATAAGCCTGATTTACTCTGTGGGAGGCCAGCTGATTACTTTGTGGTCCAGAAGCATTTCACAATTATTATATGTGCCACTCTTGTTTTGGGAGGTAAGTAGTCATGTGTGACTCCTCTGTCCTTAGAAACTTTTCTCATTGTAGAAGGAGATCAGAGCTATGTTAAAAGAGCAGCCCATGAAACCTCAAGATGAGAGTGAAGACTGTCAGGCTAGCTTCATTCAATTTCTCAGGAGCATTTGTGTATATCCCTTTATTCAGTAACACTAGCTGGGCATGGTAGGGTGATAGGGCCTTAAAGAGAGTGAGACAGTCCTTGCTGTTATGGAACTTTCTCATGGGGGAGGTAGGCAAACAAATAATCACGAGGCAACATGCTAAGTGTTGACATGAAGGTTTTGCCAGGATTTTCTGAAAAGAAGGAAGGAGATTCTGATATTGCCTCGTTGACTAGGCCTACCCTCATCAAATATCCGAAATCAGGGGAGACCACTTGGCAAACAGACAAAGAGGACACAGACAAACAACTTGAAATTGGCATAGTTGATGTTATTAATTTTGCTGATTATGCCTTTAAAAAGAGATCGCATTTTATTGCATGTGTAGGAATGTTGTGCCTCCATACATGTCTACGCACCATGTGCATGCAGTGCTTGCAGAGGCCAGAAGAGAGCGTTACAATCCCTAAAACTGTGTAGTCCTAGCAGCCATGGATGCCAGTGCTGGGAACAGAACCTGGGTCCTCTGGAAGATCAGGAAAATGTTCTTAACCACTGAGCAATCCCTCCACCCCCTATTTTGGCCTTTGATGGGATTTTTCTCTACTCCACCCACTTTTCCTGCCTAGAAGAAGATTAGAGAGTGCTTTGTAAACAAAGGCCTCCTAAACATTGATTAAGAATTCAGCAGGTGTAGTGATAGTATTCATAGAGATGAAGTAACCTACTCAATAACGCAGGTGCCTTATTCTAAAGTTAACACCCGTGATGAAAGTTTCTAGGTCTCTGTAAAAGAATATTTTTTTCTTAGGAAAGATATCAGCTGCTCCAAATCCTTCTCTGGAGGCAGGAAGATCATCTAGGACCAATAATGAAACAAATAGGTGCAAAGAGAATCTTCATTTTGGCATTTATCAGGGAGTGAAATAGCTTTGTCTAGAGATTTTTAATATAGTCACTAAGAACTTTGATTCCTTTTGGTACCCACAATGATCTGATGACCCTGAGCTTTGCTGACTCTAGATACACAAGTGGCCAGCAGCAAAGGGCATTGCAGAAACAGCGAATACCATCTCTTTACCTGGATTTTAGCATAAAAGTACTCAACAATTATTTACTTCAAGCTGGGAGGCAGGATGCAAGAACCTGCGCTGCCAGTGGGGCTTGCTTTATGCACAAATGTGCAGGATTATGGTTTGTTTGTCTTGTGTCTCTAGGGGAAAGAGATGAATAGTCTTGGACAGAACAGACTTAAAGGCTGCCAGACAGTGACAAGCGCCTCTCATGGTTGTCCTGTGAAGGAGGCGTTCCTTATGACACAGTCAGTTTCGAGTACTTCTGTCTTCCAGGAAAATTATGGCATATACGTTATTTTAGCACAGAATGAATGGTTATTAGCATAAAATGACGTATATGGACATTATATTCGACCTTTTCATTCATTTTTTACCATCAAACCCATCGGTAAGATGTCTATGGAGAGGCCATAACATGTTCCTGGGTGAGCAAGTGTGATGCTAGTGAAACCTCAGTATTTTCCATATTACCCTGTGAAGGATGCCTAATTATAGGTATCTTATACTTAAAAAATTGTATTTGTGGGTCATCGAGATT